CACACACACACACACACACACACACACACACACACACACCGGGCAGCAAGCTTCTCTCCGCAGACAGTCTCGCAGGCAATGCAAGCATATCAGGTGCGCGCACGGCGTGAGAGCGGGCGAGGACATGGGCTCCTCGAGGCACACGGGGCACTCCTCTTTCGCCATTTCTCCATCCTCCTAGTCGAGCCAAACCGAGGTGTGGACGACCCACATGGGAGCGGGACCGGGGGGGGGTGGTTGATATTGAGAGGGGGCACACGCGGTGGGGGAATGGTGGGGAGGGGGCGTCCCATATATGCTGGGGTGATTGTCGGCACGAGATGAGGGCTGGCCGGTCCGTCGCCTGCCATCTCCAACATGGATGCAACGCACACAGTCGTAAGGCGCCGTGGTGGACTAGGCCGCTGTATCGCCTACCTGGAGCTCCCGCGGAGCCGCGAGCCCCCATCATCCTTGTCTTCCAACAACAACAACAATAACAACAACAATAACAACAACAACAACAACAACAACAACAACAACAACAACAACAACAACAACAACAACAACAACAACAACAAACGAAAAGAAGACAACAGCCACTGCAACAACGTGTCATCCGAGTCTGAGACAATTTTTTAGAACAGGACATTTCTCTATCTGTGTGTCACTGCCGACCACCGCTGTTCAGAGAGGAACGGACAGCGGACAACAAACATAACCCTGAAAAAATATCTCACCCGTAGCTGATCGACGACGCTGTCGACAAACGCCAGGCTTCCCACCCCACCGCCTTGGCTTGGAAGCCCGCCCGACCCGCCCGTCCCCCCGACCCCCTCCGTTTCTTCCATGTCACCCCCCTCCTTCCTCCCGTCATTGTCCCCGGCGACCCGCTCCCTGTAGCGGCGGTAAAGCTCCTGCACGTAGTGCGGGGGTGATTTCCCTCCGTCCCCTCCCTCGACGACGCCTCTCTCAAACAGGGTTTCCGACTCGTTGTTGACGGCCGCAGCTGCACCAGCGGCACCAGCGGCACAAGCAGACCCTAGCTGATTCCGCCGGGCACCCGGGGGCACCGCGGACGATGCCGACGACGGCGCCATCGAAAATCCTTTCCCGAGAACGAGAAAAGGGTGGTTGCACGCCTAGCGTCGAACAGCAGGGGGCCACCAGGATGTTGGGATCGTTAGCAGCAGTAACATGGAACTCGGGGTGAAGATTGCAAGGAGGCTCCATGGTGTAGTGCTTCCTCGCAGAAGAAGAAAAGTTTGGTTGCACAACACGGAATCGGTCCCCTTACCGGACCGGTGTGATTAAAGTGATTAAAACACGAGTGAGTCTGCCACGCCACGGAGGATGGTAACGGCAGCAAAAAAAAAACACTTGGAAAGACAGCACTGCCTGTCTATCTGCGTTCATGTTTATTGCTGGTTCTATTTTGGGCAGAGAGTACAACGGCCTTTATGCTTCATTATATTCACAAACACGTGTGAGATGGGAAGAATCGGAAATACACAAAGCTAGACACCATGACGGAATGGCCCGTATGGCGATATTGTTAATAGAGACAGACACACCAGCAGCCGGCTGGCTTGCTTGTGCATAGCAGGCAAACTACTCGCCTGCCTCAGCCTTAGGAGAAGCGTGAGGATCGCGATGTAAGACTTCATGACGGTTCCAGCCGCCACGTATCCTTCGAACTCGATCTGCAGGTCGAAAAAGTGGCAACGCCAACGACGACAACAAGGATACAAAAAAAAAGCCAAACATGAACACATGTGAACGACGCCTTCACACGTGGAACGAAACATAGGACGGCAATGTCATCGACGCTGTGAGACCACATCACTAACACTTTGATCCAGGCCGACAATTGGACTTTAACGACAGAGAAGAGACCTTGACATACACACCTTGACAGCACAAGTTGAGGATCGCCTTTTTAAGAGCGGCAGTCAAGGATCAGCTGTCATAGCCACAATACATTTCCGCCGCGATGGATTTTGCAAAGGAGGCGGTACACGTAAATCGAAGTAGAAATGAGCACATGTCTGCTATCAGCAGTAGTCAGGAGACAAACAAACGGAGGCCTGACACGCAACACAAGACTCAACCCCAAACGAACCTTAGAGCGCTTCTTGAGGGCCTCGTAAAACTCCCTCTCCTCGGCAGAAAGCTGTAGCCGCACGATCTCCACCGTCTTGGGGGGCAGCTCCACGATCGGACGCCCGCGAGAGTCGAGCGTGCTCTGCCATTCCGTCCGTGTTGAAATCAAACATCCACCGACAGCCAGTGGAATTGATGGTATGCATGCAAAAATCACATCAACAACAGGGTAGAAAACACACATAAATGCAGTCGGGGTCTCCGCTTAGAGCGGTGGTGGGGGGGCTGATAAATGGCCGCCTTATGTGGGGCAGCCGCCGTATTCCATGCGAAAAACAACTTGATTACCTGGTCAATGCCGGCCAATTTCACCCGCCTTCTATAGGCCGCCATTTCAGACCGCTTAACCAACCGTACACAGAACGAAGACCAACATGAAAAGATGGATGCACGAAATCTCAAGAACGGCGCGCAACAATTGAAGATGCCGGTACACACAGCATGGACCGGGAGACAAGCAGAGCGGTGTCTGCCTCCTTTCTTCGAAAAGCCGGGGCTCGCACATATGAAAACAAGGCAGATATTATTCTACAAGTGACAGTCAAGTCTTCTTCAATATAATGAGAAACCTACGTACACGCAACTGTCGCACGAATGGTAAGAAGTACTTGGGTGGGTAAGACGTGCGTCCTGCACCCCCACCCCCCCTCTCAATTGACTGGCCTCAGTGGTACAGCGTTAGCGTTTTGCCAACACCCCCGCACCTTGGTCCTACGAAGCAGGATTGGAGCAAGCACGGTTTTCAGCCGACGAAGCGCTTCCGCGTCGCCATCCTACACAACAGCGATTGCGCAAACGCGAGCGAGATGAGGGGAAGTTGGGGGAGAGGAGGAGGGTGAACAAACGTAAGAATATCGTGGCAATCGGGGTGGGCTGGAACGGAACTGGTGGACGTGGGCCGAGGGGAGGGGTGGGCGCGCTACCAAAAGAGTACAACCGGGATGGTGAGTTTTTTGCCACACCTCCACTATCAAAATAAGCAAAATCGCTGGCAAGCTTTTCTATGTACGGAAATTTTGCGAGGAGGAAGCGACAATAACAACACATCCACACCTCCCCACCCCTTTCACAAAACAACTACCGTCACGTCGAAAGGGAGCCACGTTACAAATCCAATCACCCCTCTCCCCCCCCCCCCCCCCCCCCCCCCCCCCCCCCCCCCCCCCCCNCCCCCCCCCCCCCCCCGACTTCCACTCTCGACATCTCATCGACATCCAACCTAAGATCCCCAATATATACTTCAAAGTGCACCATAGAGCATGCTTCGCTGGAGAAGAATCGCGCCGTTTCTCTCGGAGCACAACTCCTAAGCGACACCTTGTATGGGTCGGAGATGACCTTCCTCCACCAGCCGCGGTCGCTCCAAGGCTCGTGCCGTAAGAACGCCAGGAGGGCGGCCATGTCGTCGAGGCTGTTCTGGATGGGAGTCCCTGTGACCGCCCACCTCTGGTCAGCCTCCAGCCGAAGGCAAGCTCGGGACTGCGGGGTAATTGGTTCCGCCGCACGTCCGTAGTTCATCCGCACGTTCGTTCAGGAGATTTTCAGGGGGGGATCGTGTCAAGGGGGGGGGGGGGGGGGNTGTGATGCAATGACCCTGAGTCGCGCGCAGCGGCGGCGTTCATTGGAAGGAGGTTGGGTGGGCGTTGCGCGTCGCTGCAGTCGTGTCGTGTCGTGTCGTGTCGTGTCGTGAGGACAGGAGGAAGTTGGGGTGGCGTGGCCGTTGTCATGATAGGTCGTGGCGTATTGCCGAGAGCAGCAACGCCAACCGCCGCCAAAGCATCAACGAAAATACCACAAACCCAGTACCAGCAACAACTACAACTACAACCACAACAACTACAACTACTTCATCATTAACAACAAACAACGAGGCATGTTTCGAAGTGCACGAGGACAACGATGTAAAAGTCGTTCCCACAAGGAGCCCCTCCCTCCTTGATACACGCGCCCTGTGCCAACCAACGTCCAAGCAACCCGCCTCATTCAATGCAAGACAAGTCGTCAACACACCTGCTCTGTGTTGGTATTGCGGATAGAGTGCGCTTCGTCTAAGATGACGCGGCTCCAACGCACCCCTAGGAGTCCCCCTGGCAATACAGGATACACGGCATACATCAGAGATAAAAATTCAGGAGTTTAATGTTGATTTTGTTGTCCTCACATTTGAAACCGTACCGATATCTACTCAGCGGTACCTCCAAACCCACACCCTGGTAGGCACGACGCCTAAGATATTGCTCTCCCCTTCCCGGCACTCCGCCGATCAATCCGAGCTTATCTATGCGCTTGGCGGCCCCGCACCTGCCGGTGTTGCACTTCCTCCCCCTCCTCCTCCTCCTCCTTCCGTTGTTGCCAGTGCGGTGGATTCTCTGGCAGTCGCGTCGGCCTCGTGCTTGGCCATTTCGCTCGAGAGCACCCCGTACGTCGTCAGGACCACGTCCTTTCGGCACAGCTCTCGCGTGGACCTGTGTGCGTGTGTGTTTCGCATGCACGACTCACGGGTGAACGCGAACGCGTTCGTGGGCGTGTTTCTGTGACTTGGCATCGACCGCCCTAACGGCATGACCAACGGAGATGCTTGGCTATTAAACTAGCATCGACAAGCTTGCAACCCCGCTGACCAATGAAACAGACGTCAGACTTGAAAAATCGGAACATATTTCGCGACCTACAACAAGAATGAAAGTCAACCGCCCTCCGAAACAGGAGGAGGTCCGCGGAGGAGATTGATGGACAACGGTGTGTGTGTGTGCTCATATTTTCAGCGTAGCACTGACTTCGCTGGCCGAGGTACCAATGAAACAGTCATCAGTCATAGGGGCCAGCTAACCGGAGGATGCACATCCCCCCCCCCCCCNCGGCGCGCCAGGGCAAGGGTGTGGGTATGATGTGCATTTTTAGACCCAGGAGAAGAACGGTCCACGTCGGAGATCGCATCAAACCCCTCCACGAGAACCAAACAAACACCGGCATTGCAATGTGGCTGCAACTTCAAACCCCCCCGCCCCGCCCTCGTGCGCCTTCACAACCAAACGTTGGGTCCAGTTCCCAGCCACGCCTATTTCGAGTTCTCGCCCGCACTCGCCTGCTTCTACCCGCTCCGTAGTGAAACCCCACGCTGATGGCCCCTTTCCGCGTTTTGCTCTCCAGCTCCCCCCTCCACTGCCCGATCAATGACAAGGGGCACACGACCAGCGTTCCCCCTCCCTTCCCCGCACCGCGACCGCTCGCCACTCGCTCACCGCCATTGCTCTCCTGAGCCCCGACAGCGTAGGGATCGAGGAGGAGAGCGGAGGGGTCGAACCCGGCCTTGCCCCCGCCCCAGCGCCCTCCGCCCGAGCACCCCTTACCGTTAGCCCCGACGCGTTTGCCGGTCTCGCCTCGGCGACGCTTTGACGGACCGCCGTTCGCGGCGACGGCGCGAGACTTTCCCTTGCCGGCGGTGGGCTCGAATTCAGAGTCACCGTCGCTGCCGCTGCCGCCGCCGTCGCTGCTCTCCGGGGTAAGCATGAAGTCGCTCTCACCGTCGCTGCTGCCGCCTCCGTCGTCACCGCTACTGACATCGAGGCGCACGGCGGCGGCGGCGGCACGCCGCCGTTTCGTCCCAGCGGCAACGGACCCCGCCAAAGAGGGCACCGCCTCCGTGACTGCGGGCGAGCGCCTCTTCCCACGCGAGGGCAAGTCGGCGATGGCGAGTGCGTCTTCCGGTGACGACACGGCGGCGTTAAGGCCCCCGGGACCACCGCTCCCGAGCTTTGGCTTGCCGTTGAAGTCGTGCTCTGCTGCGCTAGCCGAGTCGCCGTCGTCGTCGTCGTCCAAGCAGACCACGAGGCTGCTGTCGCGGCCGACTGTCGCGGGTCCCTCGCCCTCCTCTTGACCCTTCTCGCCGTCCTCCTCTTCCCCGCCGTCCCCAACCCCGTTGCTGCCACCACCGCCTTCCTGTCGCCGCTCTTTGTCCGACAGGATGAGCGAGAGCAGCATGACGGTCTGCATGGCGGGAATATGTCCCAGCCCCGGCAACAGCAGCACCAGCACCAGCACCAGCAGTAGCAGCACACAAAAGCAAAGGAAGCCGCCGTAGCAGGCCGTTTTCGAAGACAGGCGTGAAAAAGCCACAAGCCGTAGTAAAATAGCTGAGCAAACATGAAAGGAACCTCAATACTGTGTGATCTCGAGTCGATCCATATCCAGTGAACGACAAACAAACAATACTTCGGCGGGGGGGGGG